ACTATCTACGATACTTTACCCGAGAGCTTACATTTAAATCACAGTTTCATAACTAAGTTTATCGTTCTTACTTTTAATTAATATGTGCGCGTGCTTAATGCTAAAAAAAAACGTCTTTATATGAACACACGCATAATTATGCTGGAAAAGAAAAGAAAACAATTAATGAAATGGAGAAATAAGGAATACTGTAGAAGAATAAATTTAAAGTTTCTAAATTTATAGTTTATAGTTTAAATCGGAGACGTTTTGTCTTAGGACCGCTATAAGTTTTTAGCACTCTTTGGCTTTGCACTACCACCGGCGAGGTTGGCTGCGATACCTTCACTGTCACTTTTTTGCCAGCAACTGACCTCTGCTTCGTAGTCAGCGTTGCTGTAGGTGCGGTGATGTTACCGTTTGACAAATTTGCAGGCGTGACTTCCGGTTCCTCCGGCGTTTCCGGCAGTTGAGATGGAACTTGTTGACATTGGGCGCGTTCAGCAGAACAAATCGCTTGGTAGCAATCGAACATGATTGGCTCTTACTTTTAGAACCAACAAATCAACGTTAAGTGTTGACTAGACGACAATTCAGCAGTTGTTCTGCTGAACGCAGTAATTGATTATCCGAATTGGCTTGGGCTGTCATGTTGGTATCCTCTTGAAGTTGGTATGCCGGTTTTAAACGCTCGGTATTGACAACCAGTTCCTTATCGGCGTTTAACCAAATCTTGAAAACTCTGTCAGTGATTCTCTCTAGGATTTTGAACGGTCCGGAGTATAGCTGCTTGAGAGGCTTCTTCACCGTGTCATCGCGCAAAAACACATGTGTACAGGTGTACAGGTCCTTGAAAACGAAGGATGTGTCCTTGATGTAGTGTGCGGTAGGCGTCGGTCTAAGTTTTCGCATAATCTCGCGAAATCTCTCTACAAAAACTTCGGGATCCTCGTCCAATTCTTTTTCCTGGAAAAACTCTCCCGGAATACGTAGTGTAGAACCATATACCAATTCCGCGGGTGTGCACTTGATGTCGTCCTTATACGCTGATCGTATGCCTAAAAGTACGACAGGCAACGCGTCGATCCAGTTGGACTCTTCATGGCACATCAATGCTGTTTTAATTGTACGGTAAGAACACTCTATGCCGTTTCCTTGTGGGTGGTACGCAGTGGTCCTGACCCTCTTGCAGCCGATTATGTTTTTTAGGGCGTTGAAAAGGCGAGCTTCAAATTGGCTGTCCTGGTCTATGGTGATGCAGCGGGGCGCTCCGAATCGCGCGATCCAGTGGGTATACAGAGCATTAGCGATGGTGTCAGCTTCTATATCTTTGAGCGGAATTGCCTCCGGCCATCTGGAAAAA